TGCGCATGAAAAGCGAACGAGCAAGGTCATGTGCCCCTGTCCACACCTTCTTTGTGCTAACTTGCCACCCATCAGCCTATGAAATTCCCCCCTGCCATATACCCGGCCGTTCACACGAGCCTCCTCACTTGTGCTGGCTCCTGTACTCAGTACACGTCTTATTTCACACTTGTCTTCTGCTTTGCATGCATAACATTTGCGACGTAGTCCGACGAACGTGTCTTCAGTGTTGCCTATGCCGTTACCTTTCTGGCCAAAGAACACCCAGAAACCCACAAATGACTCGTGGTTGCAATGGATGAAGACATTTGAGAATTCTATTGAACTACTCCCGATTTTGATAAACACGATTGTACTAGACGTCACATCTAATTTGAAACTCCTCCAGACGAATCTCGAAGAGTTGGGACAAGGATATTTCGATGCCATCAATTAACAAGAGGCTACAGATCTCTAAACAGCCTTCACAAAACTCAAGTCAGCGTGGGGAGGAAAGGACAACGTCTTTTTCAGTCGTTATCGGCTTTGCGGAATGTGTCAAGGATCCAATAAATATATCAGTGTCTGGATGTTCTGAAAAAATTAAGAAAACACACGGTTACCGGACTGCTTTTCCAGCGTTGAGTGACATACATATTTAGGAATTTTGGCGGGGCTGGCTTACATGGACGTGTTAACTGGGCGGCCCAATTCCGCACAGCTGCCTACTAACTTTTTTAAGCGGATTGTACTCGGTTTTTTCATTTTTGATCTTCTCTGAGTTACTTCTGTCTGTCAGAACGGAGGTTGAATGGTCAGAGGCGTTGGTGGGTCGGCCCATTGTCGGATCTACAAAGTACTGTGGAGGGTTGACGATGTAGTGCATGTAACGATCGGACGGTAAGTTTGCATATACCCTCAATTCGTCGGTTAAAATAATACCACTCGGAGCAACCCACTTCCTTGTCACTGCTCTCATTGACAACCATGTCCCTTTGCTGACCTGCTCAAATATATCCCTATTTTAGGACGCAACGAACATCCTAATTACCCAGTCGTGCCGCTTGCGGAGCCCAACAATACACTTCCGTCAGCTTATTAGCCTTTCGTCCAAACGCGCCTCGATGCAGGACCCGCTCAGCTGCCTGCTTTTCACCAAGAGGGCATTGGAGCAAACATTCCAGCATATGGCATACCATGCAATGACTGCCCCTTCCCTCATTCATTTCGGTAAGGATAAATTTTGTACCCAAAGTAGGCCTGATAGTACGCAAGACTGGATACTGCATTTAATAAAGTAGGTGTTCTTCGATCAGAATTTTCCTGTGTACAACTTATGCCTAAGCTTTGGCTTGGTCTACGTGTTCCACCTACTTATGCGATTAACGTTGCAAACAACAGCCCAGAGAAACAGGCGCTAAAGGAGTGTCTATATAGACTCACTATTGTGCTCCCCACCCCGGGCGTGTTAGATATCATGCGGAACTTTTGTCGTCAGCCGACGGCGTGTGAGAGGCTGAGTATTTTGAAAGTATTTTATATATATGAAAATCCTCACAGTTGAGAGAATTGGCTGTTGTGCGCCGATTCCATCAGAGTTATCAATTATTCGGTTACTTCACGGGGTACACCTACGCGAGGTGGGATAGGAAGGTTTTCCAGGCTTGTTTTAGACTGGCAATGCTCAGTCCAAACCATAGGCGATATTATATCTCGTCGATGTGCGCCCAGATAGCTCGGCCTGATACAGGGTCTCCCCTATGTACTCTTCTTTTCAGGAGACACCAATACGCCTCAACTGCTTTGTGAGTCGGCCTGTAGTTGCATCTACAGAATTTATGCTACGGTTTACGGTATAATGTTCACAGCCCTCAGACGGCAGGCGTGAGTAGGCTCCCAATTCTTCCGTCACAATCACGCTGTCTTTCGCCACCCACTTTGCTATTTTCTGCCTGAGGGCTTGTTGGGTTCTGTTGTTCACTTTCTCCATCTCTCCCTTCCTTTTCTTCGTATCATACATTCCGGGCAGCCATCGTTGCCTTTTCTGCCCACCGACGTTGTACTTTCGGCGACTCATCAGTGTTTCATCAATCTATAATTCTACTCCTGGGCCTCCAACCAGTCCTGTCTGACTAAGGAGAGTCGCAAAACATACATTTCGGCATATGCGGTACCACTCCGGTTGCATGGCACACTCCCACGTCCCCTTGACATTGCCGCATTCTGTCTTCTCTTACGAATGACAGGCAGACATCTAAAGCCTTCTTGATTGCCAGTTGACTGCCTTTGAATACCGAACCTGTCCGCAGTGCCTTGGTATTGCCGCAGCGGTTACATTTGAAAACGAAACCGTCAATGTGTTTCCTGAGAATTTGCAGCCGCATCGTCCAACCGCATTTGCATTTCCAACTTTTGGGCAGTAGTCTTTTGTCTTGGCAATATTGCACCACTTTATCAGAGTTCAACATTTCAATTATCTACTCAGTGTCTTACAGTTTCTTCAAGTGGTGGTCTGCGTTCAGAAAGAGGATTAGTAAATAGTTTATCACAACTATCTACTAATGAAGCTAACATCTGCTTACAGATATTGACGTTCATATCTACATGGCCAGAGAGAATTCATGTGTCTCAATATTCAAGTTGTGAATTTCTTTTCCGCGCTGAAGTCTTCGTCATATAACATGACTAATTTTTAATGCATATACCTACATATCTACTTGTAAGACACGTCTCTTTACGTTTATGCACTTGACTTTGCTTTTCTTCCTTTCTAACGGTCATTTATCTTACCTTGTTATACTTCCTTCTTGTTCTTTATTTTGCTTTTTTAAATTTCTGACAGTTACTTCCTCTTCTATTATACCTCGCAATCCGTGTTGTTTGCACCTGCGATTAACGCGCGCGGCAATTATCATTGGCTGCTACTTCCCTTGGAACCTGAGCTTCAGTTATTTAGTTGACGGCAGTTAATTCGGCAGCCTGAATTTCCCTGACTACCGTTGTTGGTTGGTTTTTTTGAATTTAGGCGCATACCTACCGTTGGCCGGTTAGATCGCAGTTGGCAGCCAGGAATGGGGAAGCGGACGGCGACCTTAACCCTTATCCTAACCTTAACCTTAAACGTTAACCGCTAGCCCTAACGGCAACCTTACCTTAACCCTAACCAAAATCGTAAACGTAAACGTAGCCCTTAGACATAGACCCAACTATAAAACCTAACTGTAACACTGAAACCTAGTCGTAAACTCAAATCCTAACCGTAACTCGAAAACCTAAGCCTAAAGGGTATAATTCTAACCCGAAAATCGGACACCATTAATCGGTACCATAATCCTAACGTAAAACGGAAGCCAAATGCGTCAGATGTGGTTATGAAGCCCCACCAAAGACCCAGTAAGCAAACCCCCAGCCCCCTGTAATACGGGACCTGGCTACAAACTGCGATCTGGCCCGTTGGCCTTCTAAGAGCATTAGGTTTAGAGGTAATCTTATTTTCTTATTTTCTATTTTTTAAGTTTTCCTTTCCGTGCGCTAGACGACCCTACCCGTATAACCCCTATTGTCACCATTCCCGTTAGACAGGTTGTTCAGGATGAATTGTTTCTGATCCTGGGTACAAACCGTAACATCACTGCTCATTCCCACTACCGGTGCGCATTGCTTAACGGGCATTTCTGATATAAAAGCCAAGCAAGCATTCACTATCTTTCTTATCTGCAGCTTGCTGCCGCGGAATTCGTACGCAGGGTCTTCTTTGGTTTTCACAGTGCTCACCGGAATACAAACCCATCGGTGCGCGCTCACAGTACCTTTCGATTCATCGTCCCACCACAAGCACAGGTGAACCGTTTCGCCAACAGCTCCTTTTCTTGAAAGTAGTCAGTTAGTTGTAGAGAATTAAGGATTCCCTGGATAACTTCATACGGCGGTGGCTTGTCAGGCTTCCGCCTTCCCTTTCTTTGGTTTCCGCGCTGCGCATCAGAAATCGCAAGTAGACATGTTTAACTGCAGAACTGATATTACTTGTATTCAAATGAATTGCATGCGGTTGAGGTCGGACTGGTTACCTATGGATTTACCTTTGCTGCCCATCACGCCGCTAACTACAGTTTTGCAGACTTCCCTATGTAACAATACTCTTCATTCTGGCATCCACTCGTGTATAACCGTTGACGCTTGGCCTTGCTTTTCGATGGGATCGTGACACCCTCGGTTACCGTCGTGTGTCATCTCTTGGTCCTGTGGCAATTTTAGCATCCGCTTTCACCATTCCGTCTTCCATTGGTCATCGTGCGCTTTCCAGCTGCTTCTCCACAAACGCACCTCCCATCAGTCGCGTCCGCGCACATTTTTCGGTCTTCTAGCACACGTTTCACGTTATTTTTAAACTTGGCACAGCTTATTCCTGTCTCAGAGTTACTTCTTCTACACGAACCTCACTTTTGCTACAAAATTTTGGCTTGGTAGGCCTCTCTTACGCTGTCTGCGTTTGCCGACGTCCTATTACCTTCGTAGGGTTACGGTTAAGGTTCAGGATAGATTTGCAGCTAATTTTATGGTTAAGGGGAGGGACAGGATTGGGTTGACTGTTAGGGTGAAGTTTACTTTTAGTGTCATGGTAAGGATTAGTGTAGGAATTACGATTACGGTTAGCTTTACGGTCAGGGTTAGGATTGCGGTTCAGTGTTAAGTCTAAGATTTTCGCTGGTTTTAAATTTGAAGATAAGTAAAGGATATTATTTTAAGTGGTTTTTCTGTGAGACCTGACGATTTTAATACCTGTTTTTTGGTTGAATTTCCTTAAATACAGGCCTCTTCTCTCAGAACTGCCTGCTGCAATCTCCTTTTGAGTTCTGCTAGTCTATGCCCGTTGTTCACTAATCGCACTCTGTAATTCTCATTTTGTGCATCCGATTTCTCTCTAACTGTTGTAATTTATTTTTACATCGTTAGCTCCTAGCTGAAATTCAGTCAACTTGTCTACCAGTAGTTTTCTTAATCACAAATTGCCTCGAGAAAAGATGAGGCCAAAAGTCACTGGTCGACGTAAGCTCTCGGCTCTTGTAAGTAAGCATGGCCTAACTAAACGTAAGTCAGAAGCTTTACCTAAATCTAAGTCAGATGATATTGCTAGTCAGTCGTCACCCGTTGTAATTGGTCGGCAGCTTAATCTCTCTGCACTTGACCACTGCAATGACTTTATGCTAAAGTTTGGCTCTTTGCTGACAATTCTTGGACATTTATTCGACGGGAACATCTCCGATATTCCCTCTGAAGAATGTAGGCGTCTCGACTCACTTGTTCACCTGATCGCCAGTGAATCTAGTGATAGACAGAAGCGTTCTTACAACTTCCTGCTAAAAAATGTTCCTCGATCTGCTCGGCCAATTGATGTTGCGACCAATTTCATGTATTCATGTGGTTTCAACTATAAAATAGCCGATGCCAAACGCTTGTCCTCCCGTAGTACAAATCCACCCATCTTAGTCCAATTGTTTTCATCAATCGAGGTTTACACAATCTTTACTCATTGAGAGCGTGTCACTGCGTACCTAGAGAAGGCAAAATTTTTCCTTTGTCATGATCTTACTCCTATGGAGCGTAGAAAGGGTCTCTATTCTCACGTAAACCCACTGCTTCTCAGTCTAATGCTCCCCAACTCGGTCATAATACAAGTGGCCGTAAGGATTCAGCTTCTCCTACTCCGGCGACATCTGACTCCCTCCTTCCTCTTTCTCCTACATCTCCATCTCACTCAAGCCACTTGACGCATTTGCCTGCCCCTAACCTTGCAGCAGCAGCAGCAGCAGCAGCAGCAGCAGCAGCAGCAGCAGCAGCAGCAGCAGCAGCAGCAGCAGCAGCAGCAGCAGCAGCAGCAGCAGCAGCAGCAGCAGCAGCAGCAGCAGCAGCAGCAGCAGCAGCAGCAGCAGCAGCAGCAGCAGCAGCAGCAGCCCCATTTGTCGTTTCGTATCCTCCGGATAGTCCCACTGAGACACATGAAAATCCGTCTACATCAGCTAGACCGCTAACTTCTATTGTCCAACTGGGTGCTGTAAGGTCTACAGCTAAGTCACCAGTGGCTTGGCGTCAGAACGGTGAGACTCAAAAATTGAATCAGACTCCGACCCAAAAGATAGGTAGTACAGTTCCGTTTAGGGGTACAATGCCTTCTCTTAGATCCAACAAGTCTGTTCAGTCGAGCACGTCTACAAACCCCGCAGCTCCAATTATATCCCCGAATAATTCTCTGTCCTGCGTACCGGTTACTTATCAAAGCTCTACTATATATCCAGCAAATAATTCATACATGAATTGCCCTAAATCATTTATGCCCCAACCTAGTTCAGGCTTCCCAAAACTTAAGGCCAATCGCTCTTAGGTACGTCAACCTATCTCCTTTGACTTCCAACTTAGACCTGGTTTCCCACCATATCATTCTTTTAGTGGCCGACCCTCACCCATTAGCCCCTACTTTCCTTCTAGCCTCCCTCCTGCTCCCCTTCCTCCACTATTTAACTACCAACGAGTCTATCCATCTTCTAACTCCCCTAGCATTCCAATCTTTGAAAACTATATCCCTACATCCTTTAGGTCACATACTCAGCCGTCTCTAACTGACTACCCGTACGTCAAAAACTCTAGACTAACTGGTACTTATTCTCCAAGTGTCATTAATTCGCAGCTTACATATCCGCCTGCAGCTTTTTTTAAATACCGTCGAAAATAGCATTGCCGTTCGAAACACATTAGATATTATATTATTGAATGCCAGGTCTGATATAAACAAGATGGCCCAAATCAGAGCCATTGCTCTGGAAATGACGCCTGATATTATATGTGCAACAGAATCTTGGACACATTCTCTAATTCCTGACTCTGCCCTTCTCATAGATGACTTCGATTTTTACCGCCAAGACCGCACGACTAGGCGTGGGGGTGGTTGTCTTCTTTATCTTAAATCCTACCTAAAGCACTCTCCCTATTACTTGGATGTTTCCTCATTCACGGGAAACTTCTGCTTTGCATCTGTTATTCTCTCGCCGCAAAGAAAGGCAATCATTGGCTGTATCTACAATCCCCCAAATTATTTAGCCAGTGATGATTCTGAACTCTGTGAAATCTTTAAATTAATTTCGGAAGCTGCTTTCGATGTTAAAATAATCACTGGGGATTTAAACCTTCCTGAAATTGACTGGGTTTCCAATAGCTGCCCACCCAGATTCCAGCCCTTTCAAGATATTATCAATTTTTCTAATTGATCCCAACTGGTGCGCTCTCCAACAAGAGATAATCACATTTTAGATCGAATCTTTACCAATGACATTGCTCCTCCTTCTGTTGCTTTAAAAAAGGACCTCTTTGACAGTGACCACGTATTAATTCATTGTTGCCTACCGCTTGCCTTTTCAAAAAAGACAAGCGCCGTTCAGACTTTCATGAAGTACGACTGCGTAGATAGCGACTTAATAAATAACTATATAAGATCCTTGGATTGGTGTGGCTTCCTCACTTGTAGCGATGTAACCATTCTTCGTGATGCCATGTCCAATGTTTCAAAGGACATTCTAGAGTTTGTGCCGCGTAGATATCTCAAGCCTAATTCTTCAGATTCCCTTGTTCTTCATTTTCTTCAGAACAGACTAAAAATGTTGAGGCGACAACTGCGTGACCCATCCACTAGTTCCTTATCTGTTCATCTTAGAATCACAGAGATATTTGAGATGGCCTCAAGGATGCGCCTAGCGCGCGACAGGCAAATAGAATCAATTGCTCTCAGTGGTTCGAACCCTGGCAAATCCGTCGCTAACATCTTCCGTCATCGGTCCTCCTCTAAGCGTGGTCATGAACTTCCACCCATGCTAAATGATAACAAAGTCTTCCTCACCGATGACACTGACAAGGCGGAGTTGTTTGGTGCTTTCTTTGCAAAACACCTTGCTACCGAGTTCGATCCGGTCCCTTTCTTTCGATCACTTTCAGATAGGACACTTAGACCAATTGATGTCTCCTCTGATCTCATTAGGAAACACATAAGCCGTTTGAAATACTCACACTGCTCAGGAACGGACGAGATTCCGAATTCGATTATTGAACAAGCGTCCGACCTTCACACATTGCTCAGTCATTTATTCTCGGTTTATATTTCAAAAGGATTCTTTTCTGAAACATGGAAAACGTCAATTATCATTCCCGTCTTCAAGTCAGGATCTCGGTCAGATGTCAATAACTATCGGGGCGTGCACAAAATGCCGTCTCTAGCAAAGCTTCTTGAAAGGATTATTTTCAATGAAATTCTTGACTTCTGTCTAGCTAATCGGCTTCTGAGCTCTAGTCAGCATGGATTTTTAACTGAACGATCCTGCGAAACATGCCACTTGGCTTTTCTTAATCTAATCACTTCTCTTCGTAATGAGCGGCAGTCAGTGGTTGTTATTTACTTTGATCTTAGCAAAGCCATTGACAAGGTGCCCCATAGACGTCTTTTAGTAAAATTGGAAGCTCTCGGCATCCGGCCGCCTCTACTCGACTTCAGCAGGTCCTATCTGTCCAACCGATACCAGAAAGTCATGGTCGGTAATAGCTACTCGACACCCCCACTCGATCACGAGTAGCGTACTTCAAGGAACGGTTCTAGGTCCGCTACTTTTCCTTCTGTACATCAATGATATTTCGACTGAACTCGGAAATTCGTAAACTTTTACTTATGCCGATGACCTCAAGTGTGTTTACTCATACTCTAAGGACACCGCAAATGTTTGTGTTGAAAAAATTAATGCCGATTTACTACGCTTAAGCAGATGGGGTTCGACATGGCAGGTGGAGTTTTCATCATCCAAGTGTAGTTTCATGTCTTTTGGTCCTACAAAACTTCCTGGTCCCATAATTTTTCAGAATAACCCACTCCCAGAATGCTTCACCATAAAGGACCTAGGTCTAAGTTATACAAATAAGCTTGCTTTATCACCTCATGCAGATAGAATCACTGCCAAAGCCGCGCAGATATGTGGATTCATATCGCATAATATTTTCCTTCCGGAAATGAAGCTAAGACTTTATCAAATGTTTGTTCTTCCAGTCCTCGAATACTGCTGTCCTTTCTTCGGTTTAATGAACGCCTGTGACCGTAATAAAATCGGAAATGTTCAGAGGGCTTTCACTCGGAAACTGTTCTCTCAAGCTTCGTCCGGTATTTCTTATACTCAGAGATGTCAGCTGGCGAACATGAAGTTTTTGTGGGGTAGAAGACTCGAAGCTGGCCTTTGCTTCCTTTTTCGCATCAACTCTAGCTCCAGTCTTCCGCTCATTGACACTCTCACTCCGAGAGATCGGTCTTATGCCACGCGCAACTCCTGCATGGTGATTCCGCCGCCTCTTTGTACTACATCTAAGCGCTCCCTCTTCTTTGCTTCCAAATATGCCTTCCTTTGGAATAATCTTCCGCCTGAAATTAGATTATCGCCTAAGTTACTGGTATTCAAGTCGAAATTACCAACCATCTTACACCGGAAAGCATAAAGGCACTGTTAACGGTCTCATTCCCGAACACCCAGATTCTTGACTTCGAGAAGGGTCCTCCTGGGATTTAGTGGTAGATTAAGTGGTAACTCTTAATTATATTATTAGAAACCCCTGTTTTTAATTGGTTTCTAAATCCACTGCTATCACTTCCCCATAGCGACAATTTTCGCGGTTTTTGATGTCATCTCCCGCATTCCGACCTCATGCGGTCTGTCGACGCTCACGGCGGAACCCTAAGTATTCACTGTCTACTAGTAGTTCGGTCGTACCTCCCTTCCCCACTGCTCGGCTGAGCTCGAAGCGTGCTGTGGCCGATCGCATCTGGGTTCCTCTCGTCTGGCCTCTTTGACGCGGCGTACCAATCCGGCCCAGACGATCTCAATTGTGAATCCCGTATACAATGCCATTTGCAAGCCAGTCCTGTCTGACCCACATTCGTACCCATCAAGGCTGACATTTATTGCTACCCTGACGATGACCGACAACATTCCGTTATATACCGCCACCTACAGGCCAGTCCTGCTCGCTTTTTTCTGCTATTATTTTTATTGAGGGTTTTTTCTCCTGTAAAATTAATCCAATCGTTTTTAACTTTTTGTAAGGAGTTTTTTTTCACCCCTCAATCACCATGTTTCTCAATGGACTTCTAATTCAGAAACTATGAATTGCATTTTGTAAAGATTCGGCCTACCTCGTCTAAAACTCACATGTAAATTTATTTTAACTTGCTTTGATGGGACCCCGACGGGTCTTTAATAAAAATTATCTATCTATCTATCCTTCTGCGTTTAACAATGGCTTCGGTTCTAGAAAATTACACGAAAAATAATCAGTCAATTTTGTTCCCTCTAGATGTTTTATATTTTTAGCTAATTATCAAACATTCAGCAATTCCATTTCTTAAAATATACACACAACCCCATGACCGTCTTGTCTGCTTCTCATCCAGCATCCACGTCATACTTCCTTCGATATCAATTACTTTCATTAAATCTGACAATCTTGTAATTTTACCCTGCCATAGCCGTTTCCGCGTTCCGATTTGCTTCGTTATTTATTTTATTTATCGACACCCACTGTTAACGGCATTACGGGGCCCCATCGCATTCCCATTGGTTCGCGTTGCAGTCGGGGCAGTTTCAGCGACCGTGACTGTCCAATTACCCTTCTCGGGGGTGAGGCTTGGCTTTTTAGGTTACCAGCACTGTAACGCAACATGACTTTTCCTATTACTTGAACATCGCCCCTATCTTTCATTAAAGGCAGATGGTCAGCGAGTGCTCTGGCCAGCTTGACCGAAACCGACACGGACGAACCGGACGCTTTGGACGTGCCGGAGGAAGAGCGAGGTTGATTTGGGCTTGAAAATGATAATAAATACATTTCGGCCAATGAGTCTGCGTTTAGCAATGGCTGCGGTTCTACAAAATTGCACGAGAAGTAGTCATCTCAACTCACAACCAGTACACATTCACATATTTTTACTTATTTACCAATAATTCAAAGTTCCTTTGCTTATAATATAATCACGGCCCTACGACCTTTCCGTCTACTCCTTACCTCACCATACACGTCATACTTTCTTTCGCATCGCATCATAGCTGTTCCCACAGTTTGGATTCGCTTCCTTATTTAGGAAAGATGGAGCCAAAGTTTTCACAATTTTCGCTAGTTAGACTACAGTTGCTAGCGGATTGCTGTTATGGTGGCCTACGTTCCTATCAGATAACACGCGCAAGTTTGCCACTTTTGATTCGCTAATTCCACTAGAGTTGCGAAAATCCCCATAGCAGTCCTCAGAAGACGAGTTGGCGAGCATACATTGTTTTCGATTAACTCTCTTCAGGCCAGTTAAATTATATGGGAACGGGGTATAAGAGACGAGCCCATAGCAACACCGTTGGCTGTCAAAATGGAACTGTATATGCAGTGTGCATCTCAGTAATAATACTTTGAGTGTGTTCGTCGGAATTCCTATTTCCTACTGATTGCTTGATAGAAAATCACAAATGTACTCAACTGTCTCGGTAACCGAGACATTCATAAAAGGCGATGCAAGTCTATCGAGAACATCACCATGCCGTTAAGGTTGTCGTCAATGAATTCATAGGTACCTCGATAGCTGCGTGGTGCCAGCTGATGCTGTACGGGCTTGAGTTCCTCCGTTAACCACTTTGCTATAGCATGATACGAAGAGTTTCGCATGTATAAAATCGGACGAACTGGCAGGCCTTCCTTAAGGATCTTAAGTAAACCATATAGTCGACAGATGTGTGTCGACTGTCCGCTGTTCGAGGTCACGGTCACTTACGTTACCCCCGTGTGGACATTGAATGTACAGTTCCTCTTGACAATCGACTCTATAGGCATAGACGGCGTTCCTATGGGCTCGCCTCTTGGACATCTCGTAGCCTATGCCTTCATGGGCAAGCTGGAGAGATTTCAACCAGGCGATCAGATCGATAAGCCTAAAAATTGCGGTCGCTGCGTTGATGATATCTTTGCGATTGCCACAGCAGAAATCGACGTAGCTACTCCTTTAAATGCTGCAAATCAGGCACATCCGTCGATCAAATTCACGTTGGAAACGGAATCGGCGGGTTCGCTCCCTTACTTAAACGTTCTTATAAACAGGAGACCTGACGGTAGCGTCCGAGGGACCGTTTATCGGTAGAAAACCTGGTCTGAACGGTACACGAACTTCGCCAGTTTCGTATCCCTTGAGCAGAAACAGATTCTAGTCCGGTGTTTGGCACAAAGAGCTAGAAAAACTTGCTCAACAGATAGCATCGCGGAGGAGCTTGCAAAAATCCAGGACTTCCTTTGCGAAAAAAGGTATCCTAACAGGTTTATTTCAAAGAACGTTGCCCAACGACCGGGAAGACCCATTACAGCGGCTGCTGAGGAGAAGAATGTGTTCCTCAAAGTTCCTTTTCATAGAGACGCCTTGATCAAACTCTCTCGAGAATTTTCCCAGCAGCAAGGGTTGGAATATCATTCTCTTATAGGAAAGATCGCAGTTCACAGCCTGACATTATGAGTCAACATTGTTGACGCACTTGCCTGTTATCAGTAGGTGTGTTTAAATTAAGTTACACAGTTCCCCCGCGTCGGTCAGGCTGGGGTGTAACGCATTCGACCTCGCTCTCGTGAACTTTGGTTGTTGTTGTTGTTGTCTTACCATTGCCATACCCCCTGCATATACTTACAGCCTACACGTGGACGACGGACGGGCGATTATGCCGCCAAGTCCTTCATGTCCTTGCTATTGTCTCCATTTCCATCCATACAGCCTCAAGCAGCATGCCAGGGGCTAGTACTTTTCCATCAGTTGGTTGGCTCACTCCTAGCCTACGCGTTCTCCTTCATTACACGTACGGGTAGTGCCGGGCTTCTACGTTTTCGGTCAGCAGCGACGTTCAGCCGGGTTGCCACAGTACCACGGTTGGGTTCTCCCGCTTTGACTACTTTCCTTTTAACTAGCTGACGGCTATTGGCGTTCCATCAAAAAGCATTGGCCTAGATTGCGGACGCGGTTTTCGGCTTCCACTACGACCTCCCAAACCGCATTTTGCGTCGTTTCAGTGTAGGTTGGCTTGGCGCGTAGGCGTTGGGCGCCCTGAATCGGTGCAGGCCTGCTTGGTCAGTGCACCTTCTCCTTCGACTGCGGTTTACCATTGGCGTTGGTCCCCTTCGCTTTTTTCTCCGTCTACCGTCTCGCACACCCCACAGCGGCTTCCGATGGCTCCCCGAACATTCGCGTCAAACCAACCCGCTGGCTTCCTGTGCGGTCTTCTTAAGTCGCTTTCCGTTTGCGGTTGTAGTCGTGTTTTGCGTTAAAGACTTCGTACGGCAGCTACTCGGCCACCTTCGCCTGCCCCGGCGTTCCGCGGGTTGGTGGGTACGCGGCGACCAGTATGCTTAGCTTTTAGCTTGACCTTCACCATTACACGGCCTGAAGGCCTGCGTACTTTAGACTAGCATTACGATTGGACAACGACTGCAGTGAAGGACCAGATCGACTTCTCCTCATTCCCACCGACTTCTGCCTCTTTAGTCCTGATTGACGCATGCCAGCTGCGATTACGGAGCGCAAGGGAGAACATTGAAAGGCTGAGGGAAGATTTCACTATTGTGGTAAAAAGTTTTAACACAGTACAAATTCCTTCCTTTCACTGGCAACATTTCATTGGCCTTGCTGTCAGGTTGCCATAACATGTTTGAATCATTCGTGTGCACATATTGACCTATACGTAGGATTTCGTTTCTATTTGCTTGCTTACCTTAGCGTCAACTGCTTTACTTTTCGGCTACGATGCCGCTTTCAGCGACCGGATATGCTTGTGCAACATGGGACAGGAATCTTTCCCAGGCTTCCGACAAGTTACTTGCCTTCACTCCGTACCACAGACGGTATTGCGCTTCGTCGACGTGTGCCCATATCTTCGTGCCCTTGACGGGTCCATGTTCGCGCAATTTCTTTTTCAGCCTATTCCAATAGGCTTCTATAGCGTTCGCATTCTTCTTCGTGGCCGGATCGACAAAATTGGCAGAACGATTGACCGTTAGGTGGCGATAGCCTTCTTCAGTTAGACGGGCATACTCCTCCCATTGGTCTGTTACTATTACACTTCCAGGAGCTACCCATTTCTTAATTACTGCTTTTAGGGAGGACCAGCTTCGATCGTTCACTTGCTCGAAGATCGCCTTCCTTCTCTTTGTATCGTACATACCTAGAAATGGCCATCTAATAGGAAATTCTTACCCAAAATCCAGTGTTGCTTCTTCAGTTGTCCAACGTTGTATATTCGTCTTGTTATCATAGTCTCATCAACTTGAACTTCCACTTCAGGTCCTCCTAATTGGTTAACCTCCCTGAGGAGGGCTTTGGTGCAGACATCCCGCCAGATGTCATACCACTCGACAGCTGCAGTTACACTTATGCCCACCAGCGCTGCACATCTTATCACACCTGTGCCCTCCAAAAAGGCTAGGGCCGTTCTTACTGCTGTTGGTAAAGTCAGATGACTTCCTTCAAACACTGAGCCCGCTCTGAGTGCCCTTTTGGTTCCGCATTTGTTACACCTTCGGACTGCATTAAAGTATTATTTTCGCATACCTGAAGGCAAACCCGTCCGTGTGCTGACGCAATATTTGCATTTGCATGGGTTTTCGGCATCGACACCTGACTTCAGAAGCGAGCACTCCTTTCGCTTGCAGATATTGCACTAGGTTTGGCGACTGGATCACAGCAAGGATCTGCGCAAGCTCTGACAGTTTAGTAACTTGCGGAGCGGCCTTTCGCGCCTTCCTTGCGGTCTGCGTTCTACAAGCGGACAACCGCATGACAAATAGTCAGCAAAATACTGACAGCAGGGTGCAAAAGGATCATCACACTGCGGCTTGCTCATGGACCTCTTACATAGTCCACGTTTACACTTACCGTTCTTGGGCTTCACTGTCCGCTGATTTGTTTTCCCCTGACATTTTACGAGCACTCATCGTCACGCGTCCGTTTTTTTGGGGCGCGTTTTGCGGAATGACCTTGCCGTCCGGTACGTACCTCCTGTTGGTTACTAATGCAGCGTTGTCAGCTGGTCCTATCTCTTTCCACCGCGGTGACCTTCCGCAGGCTGCGCTACGTGTGACGGGCCTCTCCTTGATTTTTTACAGTTATTTCACCTCACTAAAACCTCACTATTTACTCATGAAAACTTTACCTCTTCCTTTACTTAATTTTCTCCTCATAAGCCGCTATCCAATTACCCCTCCCTTAAAACCCCTTTTTCCCACGGGTCCCGTCAGAGAGGCATCTACCGGTTGGCTTACACACCACAGGTTACGAACTGCGATCTGACCCTCTACTATCCCTGTTTTACGTGGTAAGGATAGGCTGCACCTCCGACCACCTCAATGTCCACGTAATCCTTCACGTGATCCTGTGGAGCAGGTTATATTGGTCGTACGAGTCGGCGTCTATCCAAAAGAATACGAGAACACCTCCGCGCATGGCTGACAAAAGGCGAAACTAGGAGCATATGCAGCGCCATTCATGCTCATGCAGTTGATTCAGGGCATCGTGTGGACCCCGGCAAAGATTTTCGTGGGATTTATAAGGTCCCATCGAGCTAAACTAATCTGCTGGGCCAGCGCTTGTTAGCAACAGCAGAGGCGGCCTTCATCAGGTTATCAAAACCGACCCTAAGCGCCCAGAAGAACCTAGTCCAGGCTCCGCGCCTACCGTGGTCAAAGGTCGACTAACCACATGCAACTTTCTGCGCCCTTCCGCTCTCGCCCCGCTTGTGTTTTAAAACTAACATTTTTCGATTTTTCAATCCCTGACATGATTGACTGGACCCCGCTCCCGCTATTAGTTACAACCTACTTTCGTGTATCCTAGCCGTTTGAGTGATATATATCCATGGGTCAATTCTATGTAAACCTATCCAAGTCGTCCGGAGGCCCTAGAAAAACCAAGGACGACTGACACTGGGCACTCTTGAAACCCAGGACGCCTTCTGGACGCCATCGCCGATCCCGCATCGCTTCCGCTGCCCGGACACAACAAGACTTGACTCGCATCGAGCCTGTCCCTGCCATAGGACATCCCCGTCTTCCCAATCCCGTCCGAACTCCGTCCCTCCTATTTTCGTCGTCATAATCCCCAAACTCACCTTAGGAGGCTGTTTTTTCTCCACTCGTAGCACTCGTAGCTCTCGTTCTAGTTAGGTTTGTTACAATTTATTTTACAAACGGACACTCACTTTCTACGGCATTAGTGTCCCCATCACGTTCCTATTAGTCCGCGTTGCAGTCCGTTCAGCCTCAGTGGCCTTGACCGTCCAATTGCCTCTCTCCTAAAATCTCTTAGACCTCGCTCCCACGTGCTCCACCCGAAAAGCCCCCATTACCACCACACCCGTCTTACAGGGGTCCCTGTGCTGGATATGTCGGATAGGCTTACATATTCAATCCTTACCCAGTGGCCTTGTTTAGCTTGTTCGGAGGTGGGGATTCCCGCGAGGTGGAGGAAGTCCCAGCGGCGCTGACAACAGCAGCATCAGCAGCGGGGGAAGGTTGCGTAGAATTTCCGACGAGGTTTAGGGGCCGCGGGAGGACGGACGGAATTGGGGCGAGGGAGGGGGACGGAATTACCGCCGGGAGACTGCAGCTCTCCGTTGTGGTGGGCGAAATCGATGATGGCGTCGGTGCTGCCCAGGGTTGGGGATTGGGAAGTGATGTGGTAGGTGCCATCGTCACATGGGGTTCCTCGTCTGTGCTTGCAGCCAGATCGACAAACAGGCTAGAACGTTGTGGTTGGAAATGAAAGGAGAAATAAAACTGCATATGCAGGCTCACACCAACAAAAACCAAAACTGCTGAATTTACCAGCTGGTATTGCCTGAACCGAATGGACCTATGTCGACAGCACATTTAGCGTTGGGTGTACACGCTTCAGCTTCTTGACTTCATTGGGGGGGGGAGCGTTTAAACAACCTTGCGGTTTACTTGCGCCTTCTTGTGCTTTCCCTTTCACTTTTTAGCCCTCGCTTCCATGTGATCCACCCGAAAAACCCCCATTACCACCACACCCGTTTACAGGGGTCCCTGCGTTGGATATGTCCGATAGGCTTACACATTCAATCCTTACCCAGTGGCCTTGTTTGGAGGTGGGGATGCCTGTGTGGTGGTGGAAGTCCGAGCCGCGTTGACAACAGCAGCATCAGCAGCAGGGGGAGGAGAAGATTGCGAATCATGACTGGTGATGTTTAGGGGTTGCGAGGCGATAGGAAGAAGTGGAGCGATGTCCACGGAGAGGCACGCGAGGGAAGGAGGCGGAATCACAGCCGGGAGACTGTAGCTCTCCGTTGTGGTGAGGGAAGCCGATGATGGTGCCTGCGCTACCGATGGTTGGGGATTAGAAAGTGGTGGGGTAGATGCCATCGTCACATCGGGTTCCTCGTCTGAGCTTGCAGCCAGATCGACAAACAGGCTAGAACGTTGTGGTTGGAAATGGAAAGAGGAATAAAACTGCATATGCAGGCCCACACCAACAAAAAATCAAACCGGCAGAGTACCAACTGTTGCATTTACCAACTGGTATTGCCTGCACTGAATGGACCTTTGTCGACAGCGCATCTAGCTTTGTGTGCAAGAAAAGATATGCAAATGGAAAGGCAAAACTGACTGGCCACTGAACAAATTACCAAGGGAGAATGGGAAAAAGCCGCCTACTTCGTCGATGCAAATTCCGGCGCCGCAGAAGGAAGCTCAGCTGGCTGTTCATCAGTGACAGCAGCGGGAGGAGACGGGGCGCAGAAATCATTCAAAGACGTGGAATGAGCAAAAGTGGGCTGCTCCGGTTGCGTCTCATCACCCTCCTGGTCATCGTCATCATCGTCGTCGTCGATGAGAACGACACAGTCAATGGATTGAGTGACATCAGGCTCTATTGGAGCCACCGGCTCAGATGATAAATCCGACTCCAGTATGCAAGGCGACATCGTAGAGGTCCCATTCGGCAGTGAGGGAATAGCAGCGTTTGTGGGCTTGTCGGTAGGAATTCCGGGAATCGACTCGTTGGCGGAAACAGTAGCAGAGAAATCACCCTCGGTGGGTTTGGAGGCCTCTCGCCAGTGTCCATTGGCATCTACGTGAACCATTTTGGCATCCTTGAGACTCGGATCAGCCATCAGCTGGACGAAGAAGCTGAAGAGTTTAGTAAAACAGAACCAATGATGCACCCACTTTGAGCGCTACGAAATGAATGTATTCGTGGATGAAAGTACATCGGCTGAATACACAGGCAGTTGACAGGTTAACAATTTTTTAAACGCACTGAAGAGTGAAAAAATCCGCTTTCCCCAGCTGTTGGGTAATTGACAGAACGCAGTCATGCCTCTGATCCTAGTTTCACCATCCTGTGCGTATTGGTCAGGCGTCTGAATAAAACCCTCGATGAACGAATGACACGAGCACAAATTACCATTTCCAGATGGTTACGACAAGTTAGCACATAAGGTAGGCAATCTAAGAAACAACGTAGCCAAAGTGGAGGTGGCAAAAGTACTTACTCGTCGCGTCGCAGATCGCGGAATGGGGCAGGCGAACTGCAGACAGGACAGGACCACCGAGGACGCCTCTTGTTAATCGTCAGATAGGAGGACAGATCAAAGCACTGCAGATGGTCACAGTTCACTGAGCGCACAGGGATCTGGAGAGGAGACAGGATTCTTACATTGGACTCTAAAGTCCCTTCCAGCGCTCTCGACGAAAAAATAAAGTTTCCTCCGCGGAAACAACCCCGCAGTTATTGCACTCAAAGTCGTTTTAACAACGTATACAATTATCTTGTTCTCTCAACTCCTCTTCAACCCACATGTCACATTATGGATAAAAACAAGAGAGATGACGTTCCCGAATCTGACTTATGCTCCATTTTGGCTTTAGGGGGTCATGATGGCTATCTGCCTCCTTCATTTTATGACCAACACACTCCTCAGCATTCTTAATCCACCTCTATGGCAGTCCCACTCCGTGGGGTCCGAATCAATGTCGCGGCACACACTTAGGCGCGACCGTTTGTGGTACGTATATAAGGGAAGTCACCGCGTCAATGTCATTTCAGGTCATCTTGACTCTGTTTCGTCATTTGGAAGGGCAGAATCACGGGTCTTTTAATGAGCACGGGTTGCTGAGTTAAATTGACGTGTACTGTGCATGAGCAAAGTAAAGCGAAGACAAAATTTATACGCTCAAAGGTTAACGCAAAATCAGTAAAGAATTTTCAGTATTACCGGGGCAATACACTGTCACTGGCAAGAAACTGCGCGTAAGACACCACGAAAACAAACCACGTTTGCGGGAAATACAAAATCCGCAACAGAAATGCAAGTGGCTGTCCGAAAGATGCTTTTTAAAATTATAGAGTGACCCAGTTGTGCTGCACTCAAAATATGACTAGAGGAAAGTTCTAGGCCCTTTTTTAAAGAGCTATTAAATACTGGTGAAAATATCTGTGATAAATTTTCCTCACTAACAGATCCGTCAGAGGTCACAGTCGTGCCAGAAAACTCTGACATTAACGGCGCAACAGTATCGCTGACAGTGCCTGAACTCACTTCGATGCGGGTAAGCGCGAGGGGGCAGAGCAAGGAAACAGGAATCCATCCATCGGACTGCAAATCATCTTCGGAGGTCAGTTTGGACCTTATCATTGCCTAGGAAAAGAGTGCAAAAGGCTAATTACCTGCGACAAAAGTGGAAAATGCAGCAAGTCAACTAACTTTAGGGGTTTTGTGTTTGTAGGAATTTTGGCAACTATAGGCCAGGCCTGAGAGGGAACTTCGAGTGCCAAAAAACGCTAAGAAACTCGCGGCAACTCTACGCTGTGATGAGGAATGGAGTTAATATTCTAGGCGTCATTAAGTAAAAATGACAGATTAGCATCAGGTGCCAGAGAAGTTGCTTTGGCGCGCAAACCTCACTCGATCATCAGGATCGCATCAAACTGCCTAACTGATGAAACGTCGTTATGAAGAATCCTGAACTTTCCTACCCAACTGAAAGTCACTGATCAAAACCCCATGTTTAGTCGTGAAAAACGATTAACAAAAACAGGAGAAGTGTGAAATAAATCCCTTCAGGAGGCATAAAATTAGATTCTGCCTCCATGAAAATCAGGTGGGGCGGGTATGAGAAATCGCTTTGTTTGCAAGAAAAAAGGAGTAAATTCAGCCCATAAAAATCCGTTTTGTAAATTTGTGACCTTTCGTGTCATAAAATTCCGTGACAGATTGGTTTGACGGTAGTTTGCTTTATCACACCCAGAATTACTAGGTATAACAATTGTAAATCGAGCGCTGTCACCCTGTGGCGAATTATTAGAGATAGATCCGTGTCCAGAAATAAGCATTGTGGACAAAAACGGTCCACAAGTAGGCAAGACAACGACTTTATTGGTCGCACACTAACAACCTATCACTACATGCCCATTGAAGCCATTCACGGGGAGTATCCGTAGATGCTCTCTATGAACCTAATCAAGAAAAGGATGCCGTTTTTAAAACGGAAAGCTTATCGAATAACGCTTTTTATTCGGAAAGGGGCGCTCACCAATCGTTCTTAAGGAAATCACTCGTTCCGTTGTGCCTTAAAAGCTGTCTCTCGAGCCCAACCAGCAGCCGCACAGCGGCGCATGATATAGGCAGAATGGCATTACCGACAAAGACAAGGGAGACTGGAATGGCCATTTCTGGCTTATTAGCCGTCGTCAGCCAGTCATACCCATCCCCAAGGTGTGGACCACCTGAGGCTCGACCTGTTACTTAGAAGTCCACGCCTCTAACCAATAGACCACGAGCCCCATGCCTTGTCCGATTCGATTGGGAATATACAATGGTAGGAGGTCCTCACCGATTGTTCTTACGTTCCGTAGTGCCTTACGGGCTCTCTTTCGAGCCTAACCAGCAGCCGCACTTCCGAGATAAGGCCTTATTTTTAGACAAACCTACGAAGTAGACCCAGACGGTAATATGTAGAGAGAACTTTCCGAAAGAGCATAGCGTATGGACGGCAATCTTCAAGAACTGTCGACGGTCAATGGTTTGGATGGCCATCAAATTCGGAGAACAGACAGGCCGGCGGTCGACTACGGACACCATCAATAGCACGGTGCCCATCAACACTGGGAAGGATGTCTTCAGGTACAACGACATCCACCGACGCCAAATGGGTGCCATCATATTACATGATAATTCCTCTGACCATCGCGCTAAAGAGGTATGAATTTGATAAAGCTTACAACTCTAATTTAATCTTTTTTTGACAACAGCCACCCTCTCCGCAAACGCCCTGGAACTTAATCCTTTCAAAAATATTTTCATACTCATTAAGAGAAGTTAGCACAAGGCATAAAAATGAAATCTTCCGTGCAAAAAACGTTTGATTTTGTGTCAGATAACCACACTGAACAACCCGCTACAGACAACATGCAATCTTCATGTCTGAGGGGATCCCTGTTGCGTTAGATGCAAGTGGACAATCAACAAAGTACTCAGCCTTTGTACTTGCTATTGTCTTTCATTATTTCTCCCCTTTCATGTGTCGCCGTCCTAATGCACCCTTCACAGTTAGCCTTCTTTACGCAATATGCAATAACAATTTTCTGAAATTCCAGTTCGCAGGAGAAATTCATTATATCTATGTTTGTAAGTAGTAATTTGTAGACCCAACTATGTCCTCTTCTTGATAACAGTCGTTTTCCTCTGCTGTAAGGCAGCTTGGACGAATTTTGCGTTATACTGATTTTCTTGTGGTAACTCGTGACATTTCAAGAGTTATCCAACCTACTGCACAACTGGGACTCAAATAGTCGCCTAAACTTACGGACACTTCGCACGATGTTTTGATATTAGACATCAAATTTACAAAACATAAATCAGTGTGGGAGAGAAGGACTCACTAAAGTTTCAGAAGCCGCGATCACGCGATCAGAGGACATACAAAAGTCGTACACCCCCGCAAGAGCTTCTGGGGTCTCCGACGGCAAGCGAGGAGGCTTGCAACCCGGAGGAGGGTCTGTGACTGGTTCGCCAGCAACAGCCGACGAAAACATGCGCACAAACTCCGGTATCGGCTGCACACGATCCAGAGTGACTTGAACAAGGGGAAGGTTGAGCAAGTGATTGAGAATAGGAGTACAGGACCCGGAGCCGACCATTTCAAGCAGCGGCAGAGCGTGGTCCTGCAGAGGGGCGTGCAGCCAGGTTAGGTCAATTTCAACACCCCGACAGCGGACTGAGAAGTTTGATCGAGTTACAATCTGCAAGTACGAGAAAGATCAGTCGATAATAAAACTGTGTGGACTCGCGCGACACACGTGACAGACTCCAGCTGTTTTCCTTCACTGACGGTGTCCGGGAATTTCCCCTTAAACTCCTCTGGTACGAATAATTTAAGATATGTGTCCTAGCAATCAATTCACAAGAAAAGGACCCAGTCAGTCAGGTCGATTTTGTCTCAAGTTACAAAGGCATGCCAGACTCCATCACTGGAGAGTGAACAGTGTGGCTGCTTTACCGCACTGATCGAAACGGATTAGTCCCACAGCCGCCGCAAAACAGCCTGACATTGAAAACGGGAGCATGTCGCGCAGATGACCGCACAGACACCCCTCCAGATGCCCAACTACCAACTGACCGGACTGTGCCAACTGGGCGCAGACAACAGAGCTGGCAAATTTCTGAAGATGGACTGGAGTTCGACTTCTAAACACTGAGAAATTCATCTCCCCACGGCTGTTTAAATCGTCTCCTACTCCCTCTTTTGAACGCTCAGACAGAACAAGCCAGGACATGCAGTAGACCCGAAGGAACAGAAAAACAACCTTGTCAGTAATGTCGATTGCAAATCGAAGACGATGACCAAATTTCTGCGCCTGGCCGCCATGAAAGATGGGATCGGGAAGCGTGACATTGCGACGAGCAACGCGGACGGAGAGACAGCGAGGTAGCACTTCGCAGGCCAGCACGCGAGAGAGATTGGACTTGTCACGTGGCATGTAAAGTCCGGACGTGGCCCATGCCAACCGAAGAATGAGACGGTACTTGTCAGCGCCGCTAAAGCACAAAGACAAGGCGTGAACAGGAGGCAGCAAGTTTAACTATCTAAGGGAAACCATGTCATCTTGAAAGGGCAGTGACAAGTAACTGGTGCTCAATGTTGATTAGAAGATAAACAAACAAGCACGAAGTGCAGACGCACTCATGCGGTCGTCGTGACTGATCCACCAGAATACGCATCGTATTGTTGTCGAGCACGAGGGTGAAACTGTAGGTCAGATAGCCAGTGTGGAAACCCAGGGAGGCGGCATTCGGCTTGGCACCCGAGAGAATAGACAGCAGGGGGATACTAGTTACCTTCTGGTCTGCCAGATCTCGCAACGTACGGACCATGTTCTCGGGATCAGGGTATTGAAGGAGGACGTTGGATGGGCAGGCAAACTGTACAGGCCGTAGGAGGGTGACGGGTCGAAAAAAGGGGGACTCTGAGTAGATGCCAAAGACGTTGTTTGCGGACAAGAGAAAATTCATGGCCTCCAGCGTCATCTGATCAGCCTCAGTGCACCGAAGGGGCAGGAACTGGCAGGTTAGGGCAGAACTGTGCAACCTGGCTCGACCTGCAAACAAAGAAACAAAAGGTGCAGTAATTTGATGTCCCTGATCATATATTAGCCGTAGCCCGATCAAATCCAGGCACGAGGAAGAATTCTTCTATTTCGAAATAGACTAGAAAATGAAAAACTCTGCAAATTTCATGGTTCAACGAAAGCCAAGATAATGCGGAGTTACATTTGCTGACTTAAAAACCCAACGCGAGAATTTCGCTCTTTTTTTTCAAGGACGCATAGGCGTAGACCTTAACGGACTTCATATGCCTGGAACCTTGCAGAGACGACTGAAGGACCTACGAGAGAGATGAACCCCTCCGAGCCACATCATGCAGCAACTGACACCGCGGTGAAACACATGTCAAATTCTTTTTAACCAGTACCTACGTCTGGAATACAGTAAAACCTCTGTTACTGGACGACGTCATTAATCGGCCAGAATAAACGGGGCAGAAGAGTCAACCTCAGTCGAAAGCGCATAAGAGCGAATTAAGGCTGAGGAAATTATGAGTCGTTTCAAAAGGTGTGAGTTTTTATGGATGAGTATGTGATAGCAGTAAAAATCATGCACAGTAACCTGGTGAGCCGAAAGCCGCACCCAATACCGACATCCGACCCTGAAATCCCAACAACCTTCTCAAACGATGGAGTGTAAAAAAGCGAAAAAGCGACAGAACAACCAAAAATTCCGCGAAAGAGAAGGAGGAGGGGGGGGGGGAGGAGAGAGGGAAAGTAAAGAAGATGCGAAAGTTAATAATGGCCAAACATAATAACTCCAAGCAGAGGCGGAGGAAGTTACTCACTGGCGGCGTAATTGATAAATCGCCCTGGACTAACGGCATTCGGGTTCAGTTTGATTGACGGATCACCGTCTGCCTCCAGTTCCGTGGGCCTCTCCTCGTTTTCCATGACACTGGCGACTGCCTATTGCATGCCAGCAGGTCAGTTGAAGCTGCCGATGGCAGACACCCTGACAGTAGACTGACAGATGAGGGAATGCGTGACAACAGAGGCAGTGGTGTCAATGGCAAATGTCGGATTGACGGTCCATCTGGCCGTCGGATGGTTCGCAGCGTTTATCGCCGCAGTGAAGTTGAAGCTGTCGCACAATAAGACGTCGCCTTAAAAAGGGAGGAAAATGAGATATGGCAAAGTATGCTCACTTCCCACGTATAAGACTGATTGTTCTCAGTAGATCTGATGCGTGTACATCCTGATATGCACGTTTCAGTATTTAGGGGTAAGAATAAAAGTGATACGAAACAGGGAGAACAAAGATAACGATCAAACCGAGGTCACAGAAGTCCAACTCAAAAGAAGTCTTCAGAAACCGAGAGATTAAGGTTCCCCTAGCGAAAAAGAGTTCGAATCCCTTATGCCCAACTGACGACACAAGCATCGTGTGGATGTATGGTTGGCCAAAGATTCACAAACCTGACCTTCATTTGCGAACGACATTAGACGTGTGCAATTCGCCTTATTACGCAATTGCCAAGTAGTTGGAAGAGACACTCACACCCACCCAACGCAAAATAACCACCCCCAGTCTACGGAACACTTAAATTCATCGATTTCGTAATTGCTCAATAATATTCCCCTCACAGAAACGACACAATATGTGTGACGAAATTGTCAAGTAAGAATTCCCTTTTGGAAGTCCTGGCTTAGCCCTAAAACAACTGCTCCTTTGCTGCATGTCGAATGTTCAACTCAGATTCACTAGTCAATTTTTTCGCCAGATACACAAGGTGAAGCAGGTTCACCCAACGTTAACCCTCGCTTTGGAAAAAAGAAGGGGGAGGCCCTCCCCTTTCTGGATGTCCTACTTAGTAAAATGTCTGATAGAACAACTCGTAGAAGCGTATATCGCAAGACAAGGTTCTCAGGGCAGTACACGCACTTCTACAGTCTTGTTCTACTAACTCGGAAACGAAGCTTAGACTGCTGCTTAACCAACCAAGTTAGGAGGATATGCACTCCAGATACACGCTGGAGAACGATCTCGCCCTTATGCGAAACACTGTGGGAAAGTGGCCACTCCGATAAGTTCACCACATGATATACAGAAGAACGGCCGCCAAAAACGGAACGTAATGACGACTAAACAAAAGATATTCCTCACATTGTAGAATTTTGCTG